TTTTTTTTTTTTTTTTTTGTTCGCCCCCCCCCCCCCCACCCTTTCTGTATGCTTTACTGAGTCAGCACCAGTTCCTTCTCATTTCCTCTTGTGTGGCTATTTGCCTGTTATTTACTCTCATTGCAACATTTGAATCATTGCATGGATGGCATGTTTTCCACTTTTAACAACCAAATCTGAATTGTTAATTGTTGTGATGCAAGGCTAGATATCCAGGATGAGTTTGTTACACAGCAATAAGTGTTTTTCTAATGTTAACAGCTAACTGAGAAATGAAACCTGAATGCCTTTATGTGCTTAGTCATATCTACATACTGGTAATTTTTGCTTATCACCCATCATAGTATATCATAAATATTCTAAGTATGAATAATGAAACTGTAAATATTTTTATATTACCATTATTAAGATCTAGAGTCTAAAGGATTGTTATATTTGACTGAGATCATTTTACTGAATAGCTAAGCTCTCAGTTAAGTGCTATATTTAGAAACAAGCCGTGCTTGCCAGTTCACTTATTCCATGTGACTGAAGAGATCTGTTTTCATTGCAGAGCCGCGCTCCTATCTCTGCCAAGTTGGTGGCCAACATGTTGTCAGTATCCGGCGCGGACCATATCATCACTATGGACTTGCATGCCTCACAGATACAGGTGAGCAACACGAAAGCAGACCCAAACAGAAGTACATCTCATTTGCTATACCTCCTATTAATTGTTTTTTTTTTACATTATAAACCAGTGGGTCTCCAACATGGTGCCCACAGAGCATGTTCTGTAATCTCAATTTTAATCTTACTTTTCTTTTTTTTCACTTGCAAAGAAGTGTACAAATGGTTTTCATTGTATCAAAACATTTAAACACATTAGTGATATGATTTTATTAATTAAAAAAAGCATATTGAGACTACCCTTCATTATACATTCTTGAGTTAAAACTATGCTTCCCTATTCTGCCCTTCTGCATTTTAACGTTCATACTGTGGCCATAATGGTGGCCTAAGCCCTTGCCGACTCTTTGAGTTGCACTTTTAGATTTTCATAATCTGTCAGTTAATTGGTTTATCTTAAATAGGTTTTTATCTGTAGATTTCTCATAACACAATTTACTGTTAATACCACAAACAGAAAAAAATTCTTCCAATTGGTTCATCCCTGTATATGAAAATGACGATATAAATGTACAGAGTGCACACCGCTTTGTTATTCTATTGAAACCCTTAATTCAACATGGATGTTCATCACGCATACAGAGTAGCCCCTCCTGACCATTTCTCCCTTCAGGTAGTCCTCACTCTCAGAAAGTTTGGAAACCCCTGTTTGTTTATGCCTGATTTTGGAGAACCTACATTAGAACCCCGATGATTACAGCCATATGTTTATATATAATATGTCAACAAAGGACAGCAGGTAGCGCTTATAACCCCAGTCCATATGCCACTTGTTGGAGAATTTATGGGTAATGTAGATATTTATACTTTAATATAATTACTTTGATATCAAACATGAAATGTGTTGCCCTGAGGAGGCCTCGGAGGCCGTTACACTCTGTACTGTTTTATGTAGGGAGGTGTCAGCCTGTCCACTGCTACAGATAAGAAGGTCCTTGGAGATGTTCCAGACTTTCTTGATAATAATGAACAGAAAAACACTTTGACATTAAATTGTACACAAGGAAGTACCAGAAGTAAATCAGAGGACTAAAATGTTTGCATGCCTGGCGATTTATGAAAAAACATGAATTTGTATTTATTCATTTTAACTAATATGACTGCTCTGTGAATGCAACTCTTGATTATGCTAGCTAGTACAGTATTATTACATTACATCACTTGAAATGTGATGAATGGTTAAGTGGTCCCTTTTTCCATCCATATACATACCTGCATCAGTAACTGGGGGCCACTCACTAACATTGTCAACCAGTTACCCATGCTGCTGTGAACAGTCCCATAGTCAGCAGTAATGGCAGCGCAACCAGATTTGTGTTTGTTACCCACAAAAGAACGTGTTAAACTTTGTATTTCAGGTTATTGTTATGACTGTGCCCATGTGCACATGCTTGCCGAGAACTCTCTTAACAGATCTGTGTTGTATTTAACTCGTATATTCAAGTAAGGACATCTGAGGCTCTGTGTTTATTCTTTTATCCTCTTTTTTCTTCATGAAAGTGAAGAATGATGTACAGTTTTTCATCATCATTACCTCTGTTATCTTTTTTTCCAGGGATTCTTTGATATTCCCGTTGATAACTTGTATGCAGAGCCAGCGGTGCTGAAATGGATCAAAGAGAACATCCCTGAATGGAAAAACTGTACCATCGTCTCACCCGACGCAGGAGGAGCCAAGAGGTATGCCAGTGCCGCTTGCCATAGGTGTTCTAACCCTTGAGCAAAGCTTACCCTCACCATATCTCCTCTGGAATTCACATTAGATTAAACTTCTGTTGGCTTTACTTATCCTCTGACAAGGCTCTAATTTGATGTGTGCATTTACAGTTTTGTACACTGGCTCTTAACTCATGGACATTGTATGTTTCCCTTTGCAGGGTCACCTCAATAGCAGACAGGTTGAATGTGGACTTTGCTCTTATTCACAAGGAGAGGAAAAAGGCAAATGAGGTGGACCGCATGGTTCTCGTCGGAGATGTGACAGATCGGGTTGCCATTCTAGTTGATGACATGGCTGACACGTGTGGTACAATCTGTCATGCAGCTGACAAGTAAGTCTCTTTATTTACCCCTTTCTGGTAAATACAGTTGGAACCTTAAAGTATTACTTCTCTGGTTACTGTGGTCCTGATGTCAAACTAATTTAGAAAGAGATAACTACTAAATTCAACTCTATTCCAGTATATATATTCAGTAGGTATGTCCAGGTCAAGTTTTTCTGCTCCTCAGCTGAGTCATTTCATGTTGAGTGTCTGCTGATACTGAGTCCTGATTTAATACTTAGATAATACAGGTGAATAGCTCTGCATTGCATTAACAAAAATAAATAATTCAAGCTGTTCCTTAATGTTTATTTACAAAATAACAAACAAAGCTCTAATTTTTAGGGAATTTCTTTCTCCCTTTAAAGTATTGTGTTGCTTCAGCCTTTGCTTGAATTACTGATATGTTACTAATGAGTTAAAACAGGCCTTGATTACTGATATCCAGTCATGTGGAGATGTGTAATGCAACGTACTGTTTCTCTTCCTTTTTAGACTAATTTCTGCTGGTGCCACCAAGGTGTATGCCATCCTAACCCATGGCATCTTCTCCGGCCCAGCTATCTCACGCATCAACAATGCCTGCTTTGAAGCTGTGGTGGTCACCAATACAATCCCTCAGGAGGAGAAGATGAAGCATTGTCCCAAAATACAGGTCAGGATACAGCAGTTACATTGGCTTTGTGTAAGGTTGCAACTGATACTTTTGATTGTCTCTTTTCTTTTTTGTTTCCCAGAGGCCAAAGTAAAATAACCAACAAACAGTACTTAATTCTCTGTCAATAAACAACTCATCCAGTCTAGTTGTGTTCACAACATCCCGTGTTCACAACATCCCGTCTTCTCTCCCTCCAGGTTATTGACATCTCCATGATCCTTGCAGAGGCCATCCGTAGAACTCACAACGGCGAGTCTGTGTCGTACCTGTTCAGCCACGTCCCCTTGTAACAAATAGTATCTACCATCTCCTGTGTGCTGTTACACCAAATAAGAGAAGAGGGAATTCCCCAACCCAAACACAACCATTAGCAAAGCTGTTCTGCTAACTTACCATGAAAAAACAAAACAAAAAAAAAACTGTCATGTCTGTTACTAATGCTGATCCCACTCACTTGAGTCCCTTCCCTCTTGAGCGGTGTCCCTTCATGTATGGGGCACCAAAGCAATTGCAAGCTACCAGTTTAGGCCAGCGTATTTATTGTACTCGGGTAAATAAGTGTTTATCCACTGTGAACTTTGTCCCCCCCTTTCATAAATCCAGAGTTTTCTCCTGACCACTTTCACCTCTCCAGAGTCATTTCAATCCTGTTGTCAAAGAGCTTATATAAATATCCCTGGCAGGTTCCAGTGGTCAGGAGAAGCGTCTGCCATATAAAGCTGTTACAGTGCTTTTTGTTACAATGAACGAGTGCAGTTTTTCATGTTGCTCTTGTATCTTCTGCTGTTTGAAAGATTATAATTAATGAAGTGAATGTGTATTGAACTAGTTTACAGTGCCACTGAAGCTCCACTCAACCAAGAGTGCCTCAACAGTCTGAAATAAAATGACTTTTTTTCTTCCAGTTCGCTCATTTCTCCCTCCTATTTAGCTGTGTTTATATTCTCACTGGATGAANNTCTTATCAGGCTGTAGAAGACGATTTTGCATGTTTATTTCAGCTCTTGAGGCGCCCTCATTGAGTGTGGTTTGCCCAGTGTCCAGGGTTTACCCTTCGAGGTTCTGCATTGAAGGTCTTTCTATAGAGAAGCTGTCGGGTTTTTAGTTTGGGGTCTCTGCAGGCTGGAGCTTCCGTCAGAAATGTTCACCTGCTTTTCCTTCTTCATTTTTGTCTTTTTGTATGTCTGGAGGAAAGATTTGTCATTGTGCATATTTCAAACTTTAGTGTTTTACTTTTTCAGTAGGCTGAATGCGCCAGTTATCTGAGGGTGCATTCTTAATAAAATTAAATATGCGCAAAATCTTAACTGTGGCACTTGTCTGTTATTTCTGGCATTAATGTACTGTATTATAGGCTTGTAAGGCTTCAAGTTGTATGCAACCAGGGCTGAATCAGACTTTTTTTTTTTTTTTTACAATTACTTTATTATTTATTTAACGGACTATACACAATACATTTTTTACTCTTAATAATACAGCTAAAACCTCATTTCCATTGTTAGTCTCTGGGTCTTTTCTGATATTTTGGAGTGTTTTTTTCTAGTGACCATAGTGAGTTTACATTCTACAGTTCTAATCCCTTTGTCTATATTTTATATGCTTATCCCATTGTTTTGTTTTTACTTGTATTTTGCCCAGTAAATAATTCAATATTCTGTATTTCCCTATCAGAATGTGTTGAGAATAATCTGAAACAGCATTTAGATATAGAAAATGTATTACATTGAATTAAAATTAAATACATTATTTGTTATTTAAATCTAAAAGAAATAAAGAAATATTAAAAAGCCTAAACAGAGTTCCAGTTAAACACACCCTTCTTCCAACAGAAATACTTTGATTGATAGGCAAAATAACCAATCGCTGGCCACGTGACGTGGCTGTCTTCACCAATAGTTATTCTACAAGAGGCGGACCAATCAAAGGCACCGGCCGGTTAATGCTCATTCCTTCGGTCGCCTTCATCCTCTTCACACTGTCTGACGAGGTTTGACAGTTTATTTATCTCGCATTTGGATGGGAACGGGGTGAAAACGTGTTGCCATCGTAACTCGACCAATAACCAGAAATAACCCCACACCACGTGTAGTGATGGTGTACGAATAGACGCCCGCGCTGCCTTCAGCATCCAACAATGAACGGAGGAGAGTAAACACTAAGCTTTTTCTTCTGCCTGGTGACGGGTAGGTACATTTCATCTCTGATTTATCTTAAATGTTTCTGATCACAGACTGGTTCATGATATTTAAGTGTAATATTTTTTGCTTTGGGTTTGTATCCTGTGCTTTTTGTTAAATCTTATTATTTTCAGTTTCAGTAGGACTGTCCTGACAACTGAAATGATTTGTGTTTCAGTTTTTTATCAGCTTAAGGATGACAGGAAGTCCTGACCGTAAACAAGATGAAGAGGGCCATGGGGATCCAGTGGTTCGCTTCCAGAGCTACTTGCACGGTGGGACCTCCAGCTTGCTATCCACCCTCCCAACCCTCATCGTCTTCCCTGTCTACAAAACTGTTTTCCGCCAACAAATCCACAACACCCCGGTTCACCAGGCAGTGGGACAGCTCTACAAAGAGGGTCCTGTAAAGCTCTACAGGGGCGTGGCCCCACCATTACTGATGAGGACGCTGAATGGTACGCTCCTCTTTGGCCTCCAGGACACCCTCTTTCACCAACTCTCCTTGTCATCCCAGAATGTCATCTCCGCCTCTGCCCTGCCTGCTCTGGCTGGATTCGGTGCAGGTATGGTAGAAGCTGTGGTTTTAACCCCCTTTGAGCGTGTCCAGAATGTGTTGCAAAATGGCCAAAACGACAACCGTCTCCCCACCTTGAAGAGTGTTCTTGTCAAGCTGCATGCACAGAGGCCGGGCTTAGGGTACTACAGAGCCTTCCTGCCCATCGCAGCCCGCAACGCTCTTGGCAGCTCGCTTTACTTTGGCCTGAAGGGGCCCATGTGTGCTGTTGTGGAGGGACAGGGCCTCTCTCCATTGGTGTCCTCCTTCATCTCAGGGACGCTGACCTCAATGGCAATCAGCTTGGCTCTTTACCCGCTGTCTGTGCTAGTGGCAAATATGCAGGCACAGGTGGGAGGCGAGGTGAAAGGGGTCATGGCTTGCTGGAGGATGCTGTGGAAGTCTCGGCAGCAGAGCGTAACTCTGCTGTACCGGGGAGGTTCTCTGGTTATTTTGAGGTCGTGCATTACATGGGGAATCACCACTGCTATCTACGACAGGCAGCAGAAACGTTCAAGCTGAATGGACGCAGTTAAAAATTGATTTTATTATTTGTATTATTTATGATCCATGCTATTATTTTACATGGACTTTTTGACGGTCTGAATAGTATTTTGTTTTTCAGTTTCTGCCCTTTTGTGTTTATATTCCTTATCACTGCTAACAACTTACTGGTGAGTGAACAGCCATGTTGCTCTTTCAAAACACATTCATCGGATCCTGCTCCCGGCTTCATGCAGGTGCCCTAACCATTTGGCCTTTTTCACAGCATACAAATAATCTGCAGGTGTTACTAATAACATTAACTCTTTTCTATTCAAGTGTCCCAATAAGCCATAACAGTGTGACGGTGAGCCATCATCAACCGTACCAGGACCCTTAAACTGTAGCAGCTAAATGGATTTCAACCATCATACATTTTATTACATTTATATCTTTTCCTACTGTTAAGCCCACTACTAAGTGACAAAAGCCTATTAATGGGAATTGTAAGTGTAGCAACAAGAACATGATCCAAATGGTTCAAATCAACTAACAACGCCAATTTAGTAAGTTGAAGGTATGACTGCCAGGTCTCTGAGGTGGTGGGAGAATATTTATTATTTAGCATTTATAATATGGTGCTAGTGAATCATAGGTGCCTTGTATTTTTATTGTCTTAAAAGGTAATTTCACCAATTTTACTCCTTAAATTCAGTTTACTCATCATGGGAGCTACTACTCAGGAAATGGTTGTGCAATGCCCTCTGTGGCACTGAAGGAACCTTGTTTTTTCAAGTATTTTTGGACATTTTTTATTATTTTTTTTTTTTTAACTGTACTTTACTACTGTTAAGTGACACATGTATACCACTAGTACAACATGATGTGTGATTTGGTTTCAGATCTAGATTATGAAATATATCTGGTAGCCATAGGTTGGGTTTTTTTGTGGGGGGTTTTGCATATTAATCTGTCACATAGCCTTTAATATGGCATCATTAAATAAACTGAGTTTCTCTCAGCACCCTCAGCTCTGACTGACTTCCAGCATCCCTGCCCATGGAGTTTTCCAAACTGATGATCTCATCAGGTCGGAGACTACAATTTACAAAATAAAGCCTGCTTAACAAACTGGGTCATGGATTTTTTAAGAGATGGTTATTTACCAGTCGCTCTGGGGTCAACAAAATTGGTTTCATTCAGTTGGACCCAGTCTCCGCTATATTAATTTTGACCGTCTGTCTCTTGGGAGACTTGATGGAAGTGAAATACTAAATCACAGGAGTTCCTCTTTCAGTGTGTAAAGGACATGTATGCATGTTCAAGGTTTATTGTCAGTATATTATTTAATTATCTTTGGTATATTACATATGGATTAAAGAACTGGAACAAATGAGAGGGCACAGTGCAAGAAGATCCTGGACAAAAATTGTTGTAGTACTGTAATACGCTGTAGGTATTATATGTATACATATACATTTGTTAATAATGTAGCCCATTAAATAAATCTGTTTGACTGTAAAAGGAATATGTCAACTGCCATAAACCTGTGAAATTAACATATAATAACATTATAATGAAGAATACACTTTTTTCCTGAAAGTGCATTAATAAATGAATCTGTTGTGCATTGTGTGGTTTCTATGATGTACTTGCTGTTCTCCTACCTTTCTAATGGATTTATGTCAAACCGTGTCATGTCATAACTAGTCCACTAGATGGCACTGTGTTAAAAGTAAAAACATGATATCATCCACATCAACTATAATGGGAGCTCAACTGCACAGTAGACAAACAAGTCCACTCAGAAAAAGAAGGACACATGATTCTGATGATTACAACACTGCAAGGCAAGAATGGGCAGCCGTGCTCAAGAAGCAGCCTGTAATATTTCAGGGAAGTCAGGCACCAAGCGCGTCCAATTAAAAGTCCTCCTCTGAGCTCTGGGAGCCAATGAGAGCCAGAGCATGGGTGTCCATGTTGGCGTGCAGAAGGGCGTATAGACTCTATTTAAACCGTTGGCTTTGCACAGATTACACACACGCATTTTACCTGTAAAGGACATTGTCACTGCGCACCACTGCACCAGGTAAATTATTCTGAATTGTCTTTGTTTTTTAGCCTGTGCATTCAAAAAGACACCTAATCAATGCAATGCAATGTAATGCAAACATCATAATACATGTTATGCTATTATTTCTATGCATCAAATGCTTATATGTGTTATGCAACATTTCTGCTATAGGCCATACAGCCATTCCAATAGAGTTTGGTTACTGTTAACTCCGTTATATTATGGGGTGTGTATAGACACCTGGCAGCGCTGCATTCCTCTGCACACAAAGCTGTACGTGCCTTAAACATTACTTAAGCAAACCTGTCGCAAACAGGCCCGCGGCTGGTATGTTCACCTGTCACATCCTCACTGTGATGTAGATTATAAAACTGTGCCACCCTTTACGCAGGATGTCCAGTCTGTAGGCGCGGGCGGTGTTACAATACTATATGAAGCTCCACATAGAATTTCTACAACAGAAGTCATATAAAAATATGATAATACCTTTTTATAAATAACTTTTTTCCCCACGCAGACGCACTTTTATTAACCACATCACCACCCTTGCAAAGCTATGCACAAGTACAGTATGTCCGCTCTCTTGTGAGACTGAATACCTGTAAATAACAGCGCAGTGTAACATGACACCAGACCTGTTTGTTCATTGTGATCAGGTAGATTGTAAGTACATGTTGATTCTTGTGACGGGCTTACATAACTTCTTAGTTCAGCCCAGAACTTTATTCTTTAACTGTGGATAAGCTTGATTTGTATACCTGTATGGACATGTACTGCAGACAACATCTTGAGTGATGGGACGGATAACGGGGTGTGTTCATTCATTTTCTCATGCCATGTTAAAAGTCAAAATCAGTTTGTATTTGAATCCCCATTTTCTGCTCTCTCTTTTCTCTCTTGCACTGTTTTCCATTAGACATCTTTCAAAAATGAGCGACAAAGCAGTCAACCATGAGGTGGAGACGTTTAACAAGAGCAAACTAAAGAAGACTCTAACGGAAGAAAAGAATCATATTCCAACCAAGGATGGTAAGGAAAGGAAAGGAAAATAATGCTGTCAATAAAGAAAGCTCATCCACCCTTTATCCAGGTTTTCTCTGTAGTTCAACTCCTTCTTGCCTATCATCATGAAAGGCAACTGCAAACACTGCATGACTGATTAACTTCACACACACACACACCCAAATACCTTGTGCTTAATGCCAACCTGTTCAGGAAACACACAGCCCCACCCCCATCTTTTTATCATAAGATTCATGTCTCCTGAATAATAAGTGCCAATGAGTAGCAAATTGAGCTTCATGTTTCATGGTGTGACATGCAGCAGCAGGAAGGGGAAAGTTTAAGGGAAAATGTGCCCTGACTGGTATCTCAGTGATGAGGCACCCACAGCATTAGCACAGAAGCAGGTGGCACTGAAGCTAGATATCAACTAACTGTGAATTTTCTCTGCATTTCACTGCTTTGTTGCAGTGGAAGGAAAAACCTTTGCTGAATGTTGCTTTAGCTAAATGTGGCTGTTTTACTGTCCAGTTTGTACCTGAATTCCACGCAATTCAGTTAAACTATGCAGCTTTTGAAAGAACTAACACTTTCTTCCTCCTATAAATGAGTTAAATTAGTTAAATTCATTAGCAATGACACACACTGTATAAATGTGTTACACTTTGCCGCTACGCCCTTACTTGGTGTGGTATGACAGTATCTTATGGTTAGACAGATGTTGTTGTGAAACTGAGCGCACGGTTCACTGCCTTTAAGACTCGCCTCTACTTGAGCTGATATGTTTTAGTGAAAGTCACACAGGCTCATTTTACTACATTGTAATTATTCTACTGAAATCATAAAATCATATTTTTATTCATTTCAAAGTAAATTTTCACTCCTGTGCCATGTCCTGATATTCTACATTTAATGTTATGTTGTACATTGCTGCAGAAATCCTAGATAGACATTACACTAAAGCCCTTCATAGATGAGGTTAAGGCACGAGGAGTACTATACATCCTGAGAAAGCAATTGTATAATGTCTTCTTAAAATCTATTAATATAGGATTATAATGTTTAAAGACAGAGGTACATGAGTTTGTTTTCTGGTCCTGACAACAATTTAGGACTAGTCTTTGATCTCCAGATCACTTAATCTCTGTCTCTGTCTGCCTCTCTTGTAATCCCACAGAAATTGAAGAAGAGAAGAAAGCCATGAAAGAGGGAAAAAACTGAAATGCACCTGTCATGATTCCTCTCCTTCAGTCCTGCCATGTTACCTGCTTTTTCTCCAATTAGGAATCCTGTCCATCATCTCCACCTCTGCCTCTGTTTTCTGTGCCGCCATGTTTCATAAGAAATGGTGTTTGGGCTGTTGCTATGGGGAAAGATCTGTATGTAATCCCACATAAATTAATGCAATGGATATATTTTATTGTGCTTTCAATGCAGTTTAGAAAGGGCTGAATGGAGCAAGATAACAAGTTAACAGGGGGTTAAGTTAAAATAATCATAAATAACTGTATTAATGGAGGAAACCCATCCAATATATTGCATTGTTACCAATACCATAAGTATGCCTGTAAATGGTGCCATCCAGGAAATGTCTAAAAAGTAACACATAAGATGATATTTTTGCTTTAATAAAAAAGTGTCAATGATGATTTGCTTGTGTTGCATTTGTGTATATTTTATCAAACTGTCTTGGGTAGTTACAGCATATTTGAATGGATTTTGTGGGACGAAAATGCTTCTAATCTTAGCTGGACATGGTCTAAGTTAGTTGCAAGCAAAACTAAGTTACATTTAAAGCTGAGGTACACTTTCGAGCTCAGTTATTTTCATTCCTATGCCCGAAATATGAAACTGCACGCCAACATGCAGCTGAAAAGTAAAAGATATTTGTAAAGTAGCATTCATATCATATTATTGATTCATATTAATAATGAATAGCAAAGGAAATAGAAAAACAAAGCAATCAGAAACCATTTGATACAATACATATAATAATAACAACAAAATGTAAAAACGATACCAGCTAAGGCAACACAAATTAAAAGCCAAGTTAAAAAGATATGTCTAATTTGCAAGATCCAAACTGTGCTGCTTGAGTGCTCCAGTGTGCACAATAAAGAAACTAAACAGGTAAAGCCAGAGCCAGTTTGTAAACCCTTTTTACATGCTTCATATAATTCACAATATTCATAGTAATGGACACACACTCTCCTGTTACTTAATAATAAAAACTGTGATTACTGTTTGTGAGCATGCATATTCAGTTGACTTCAGTTTTTAATTGTTGACAGACTCCTACTCACCTAGTGAGAACTTCCTCCCTTAAGTTACAACAGGTTTTAGGCTGCAGAAGAAAAGGGAGTCGATCACCTGCATTTTACATTGCCAACATAAAATATGGTTCATGTCATAAAAGTGAGTTTTAGTTTAGTTTCCATATGCAGGGGTGTAACATTTACATGTTTACAGGTGCATAAGATTTATCAAATGTCCACATTAATCTTGTGTGTGTGCTTGGGAAAACCACACTGCGGAAGGAGAAATGCATCACATGGATCATCAGACTGCAGGTGGATTGCTCAAGATAGGGTAGGCTGGGTTTTTCCATAAAAAGCCAGTTGAAACATGCTCATACCGCAGCATTAAAGTACTTGAGAGTGTGGACATACTTTATACTATCCAATTTGGTTGTAGAGTAATACAGATTTAAAATTTCCCTTCTGTTGTAAGGACTTCTGCCAGAGATCATGAAAAATGTATTACTTTCCAAGGGAATGATAGCTTTTATGAATCTGCAAAAAGTGATGCATGTTGTCTTCGTTTCCAAAAACTTTCAGGATCAGGCTTGTCTTTGCACTATGACAACAGACTAGAGACAAACAAGAGAAAGAACACATGAGGACACAACTAAATGATAGGAGGTAGTCAGACTTATGATCTTATTCACTGTCTTTGAAAATCACAGTCAATATACTGAAAAACGTGTACATATGATTTATACTGTACCATTGCAGTATCCGAGGCATACTGCTGATTACACCTGTGTTTTTATTGCCCGCTGTATTCAATCCATGAGTTATCCCTGTGTCAACATTGACACAAGTGCACATGATCATTGTCTGTCGCAAAACAAGTTATACAGGTACTTTTAGTAACATGAGAAATTGTTACGTTCACCTTGTCCAGCAAACAAAATAGAGCCACTGGACTGCATCCAGTCATACCTCAACTTGGTGTTTTATTTTCATTAGTTGTCTCACTATCCTGCATTTCTGAATTGTGAAGAAGCATGACCACACAGGAGTAAGGATTTCTGGACCCATTTATGTCCTATCCACTATGATGATAGACCTTTGAGTGTAAATTAACAGAAAAACAATGAGGGTCATCTCTTTTACGATGTAATAACACAGATTGTACATTTAGTCATTTCCTTCCCATTTGTTTTTCTTTGTCATAAGATAAGATGAGTGAAGATAAGATATACCTTTATTAATCCCCTGCAGGAGAAATTCAAGTTACACACAGCAGCATTGGGGAGTATAGTGCAATAAAAATAGTACAGTGTACATACCACATCACAATAGTATGTGGGGGTCATTACGTAAAACATAAAAACATTTTATCTGTTAACTCAGGGTGCCAACTACAGGTGAGCTAGGTGTTGACTTGGCTCTTCTTAATCAGACATTCAGTCTTCCTCATTCACTCAGATTCACTGAATCTGTGGACAGTTTTAA